GAAATGGTGAGAAGTGAAATACTAGGTAGGGCAGTGTCTACTATAAATGTCATTAGAATTAGGTTGCTAATTCATTTCTCAGGAACACCTTGGCATTATGGAGGAGCAACCAGAGCAAGTTCTGAGTCCATGTAATGAAATATATTCCTTTCCCATGAAATATATTCCTTTCTTCAAAACCTCATTTCCCAGGAGACATTTCCTACTTGATATCTCCCAGTGAGTCCAGAACAGCGGTGCAGCCTCAGCTCAGAGTCTCCTGGAGGTGTCCCAGGTCTATATTGCAGAGGCTGTTTATTTCTAAGGAAAGGGAAATGGAATTCCCCTTGGCAGCATCCTCCTGCTCTGATCTCTGGAGGTATAATTCCCTCAGCACAGCTGGTTTGCTCACCTGGTTGGCCTTACACCAACATGTTGGGCAGAGCTGCCACAGAGGTGATCTTTCTCCAGCAGCAAAACTTCCCATCTGCTTGTGGCTAAGGTCTCTTAGGCTCTGGCCATGCTCTCCATCTCCATCTCCCCACTGTTACACCTACAAACCTTCTCCTGAGCCTTTTGGTCTTTCCCATTAAAGACTGGAGCCACTGGGAAGCTGCATACACTACATCATGGCCAAAAGAACAATTTATAGATGAGAAAGATTCCAGCACAGCGAAGATGAAGAAGCAACGAGGCATACTGTGAGCTGATCCTTGGGACAAGATGCAGCAGATCCCACATGGAATCCCTAACCCCAGCGAGCTGCACACACAGGGAGGAGAGAGGAGCAGTGGAGAGCTCTGAGCTGTCGAGACTGTCACTAGAGCAGAGGGCAGAGACATGACATGGGCCACACTGTTCTCTGAGAGCATCCCGAGGAGCCTGCAAGTCCTTTGGGAAGCCAGGCAGGCTCTTGTGGGAAGCACAGGAGCAGGACACATCCAGCACGGAGGCGAGTGCGGGAGGGGGTTAGCACAGCCTGCACGCTGCCAAGTAAATAGATGCGTCTGCCTCTGATTTGCATGTTTATCTTAGAAGCAATTTAGGTTTCTCCCTGTTTACAAGAGCCGAAGTCAGCAGACTCTCTGCAAGAACAACAACGGGGAGTCAGCACGTGACGGTTGTCTCCTGTTCCCTCGTGCATCGGCTCGAGGGTTGTTGGGAAGAGCTCCCTGCAGCTGCACCACTGGATGCATCCGTGAGGTTTTCAGGGAGGAGGAGGAAGGATGGAAAGGGAGCGAGGAGGGTTTGACCTCACAGGATCCAAAAGCACCTGCCTTTGGAACATGAAGTCTTCATCCTCTGCTGCTGCTGCCGCTGCCTTGGGGGAAAAGCAAGGAATGTCCTGCAGCACTGCAGCTCACACCTGGCTCCTGGAACTCTGGAAGAAAAATGGGAAATGCAGCCAGCTTTGGGGAAATACAGGCAAGGAATGCACACGGATCAGCAAGAGGTGACACTGCAGCATCACAGCGAAAGGTGGTGGGAGGGATCGTGCCCCTCACCCAGGCTGAGAGGAGCTCTGTGCTTGGCAAGGGGTGATGCCAAGGCTTGATGGACCTGCACAAGGAGCTCGCAGGAGGCAGCAGCACATGGAGCTCTGTTGGACAGGGTGGGGGATTGTTATCCTCACATGCACTTAATTATCAGCTCCCTCCCAGCTCCTCCTGGCTGTGAGCTGCTTGTCTCCTGCGCCTGCCTCGCTCCTTCTGGCCACGGAGTCCAGGCCTGAGCTGCTTCCAGCACCAGGAGCAGTTCACTCTCACAGACTTTTCTGAACTCAGGGCTTGGGTTTTGTGGGTTTTTTAGGTTTTTTTCAGCTGGAAAAATGCAGATTTCCCCAGAGTCCAGCACAGCCCAAAATGTGCCACTGCCAGCACAGCTTCATTCTTCTGAAAGCAAAGTTCTGATAAGGCAGCTGGGGACTTCTCAGAACATCCATTGTCTTTCCCATTTCAGTGTTTTTCAAATGTCACAGATTTTGAGAAATAAAATCGGAAGGGATGCTTTAATCCATCCAAAACAAATGTTTGGGTTTTTTCCCCTCCCAAAACTCTTGCTTGGCAGAATTTTCTGACGTTCCCTGTCTCCATTTTGGAGTAACTCAACCCAACTGGAGCATTTCTCACCAAGTGGAAGCACTCAGCCCTCGCCAGCTGCAGCCTTTCCAAGACATGGGAAGAATATTCCCTCTTGTTGAGCCATGGATTTCAGTACATAACCTCCAATGGAATCCTGTAGGCATTGCTGTAAATCCACTGCTTGTCCTCAGCCACAGGCAAAGGGAGATGCAGCCACCAACCCTGGTGGGTCTGGGACCCACAGGCTCAGATGCTCCTGTGGCAGTCGGTGCCCTTCGCCCTGCTCTCCTTCCACTTTCTCCTGCTGATAATGTTTGCTCTGATCTGGGTATTTGGCAGGAGAATTAAGGAGAAGTAATTAGCTCGCAGTGTGAAAAAGGGAGTGCCTGGTGTTTATCTTGTCTGGAGGGTTTCCCTTGATCTCGGTCTCCCAGGGGATGGTGTTAGTCTGTGCTTTATCTGTCACTCTCCCAGCCAGGAGGCAGCTCCTCTGCCAGCTGCTGTGTCCCAGTCCACTGCTGTGGCTGGAGACCAGTGCCCCAGTGCTGGAGGCAGGCAGGGAACAGGGTCCCTGCACGTTCCCTAGTGAGTTGGCCCATTGCAGAATATTTTACCTTTTCCAGCTCACCCAGCAACCCAAAGAGGAGCTTTGCCTACTGCAGAACCTCCATCCTGCAACCTCACTGCCTCCCAGCATCTCATCATCACAGGCAGGGACTCACCAGCCATCCCCATACTCACTGGGCAGAACAAATTCAGAGCCAGCTGCCTGGCCAAGTTTTCCCACAGCCCCACACAAGACCACTGTGCCATCATCGCCCTGGTGGGAAGCTCCTCCAGCCTGGAAGGAACTGGCTGCTCTTGCATCCCAGGATGAGTGAGGCAACAAAACACCCACAGTCAGCACGGCTCGATGAGCTCCTGGTGGCTTTTCTTTCCCAAACATCTTCCACCATGCCCCTGTCCCTCTGCTGAGGGATGAAAGGCTGGCTGAGCACGGCTGTGACAGTGGCTTTCCTTTCCCAAATATCTTCCACCATGCCCCTGTCCCTCTGCTGAGGGATGAAAGGCTGGCTGAGCACGGCTGTGACAGTAATGCTCTCTGCCCCTTGGAGTCTGGGCTCACAAAGCCATGGGGAGCCGCGTTTATTATCCTCAGCTCCAGCCCGAGATGACCTTGTGTTTCTGCCAGCGTTTAAACAAAATATTTGACAAAAGAGAACAGATCCCATTGCTTTCCGTGCTCACAGGGCTTTCCTGAGCCTGGGAGCTCTCTCTGGGGTGGATAGAAGTGATAGAACATGGCCAGAGAGAGAGACAATGAAATATTGTCCGAGCTTATTGCTTTTTATTATTATTATTACTAAAGGAAGGTTTTTTTTTACTTCCAGTCTGGGGGGGGGGAGCTAGAAAAAAATTCTGAATCCCACCCAAACCTCATCCCTTCCAGCCAGAATCCCAGCTCCATGCTCTGTGACAAACATCATCCTCCAGCACAAGCAGCCGGAGGGGCGAGAGGGTGGCGCAGGCGTGAGCTGACCGGGATGGAAAATTCCATGTTGCTGCCATTGTCCAGGATGGTGTGAGGCTGCAGGGCAGAGCTCGGGGTCCCTCCCCCATGGCCATGGAAAGCTGCCCGTGGGGCTCAGCCAGGCTCTGCCAGACTGTTGTTTGTGCGTTGTCTTTCTGCTCTGAGCTCCCACTCTCTCCCCACTGCTGGAGGGAAGGGACTGGGATGCAGGTGGGATACAGGCAGGACAGGAGGCAGTGTAGTTCTCCCAGTTACTCAACTTCAGGGCATGATCACAAACGTTCACCAGTGCAGGAGATGCACAGAGACAGCTGAAGGATAACAGTGTGAGCAAAGACAGCAGCAACAAGAGGCAAAGCCTGCTGCTCTTCTTCCTCCCCCACCTGCACATGGCACAGGGATGCCATGGATGTTCCTGCAGAAATCAAGCAGGAGACAGGGCAGAACCTGCACCAGCCACACTGGGCTCAGCTGGGCTGCATCCTGCTGTGCTCAGCAGGGCTGGGATGTAGGGAAGAGGGTGGGAGGGAAGTTTTGCACATCAGCAAGTTCCTCCTCTGCTGTCCCAGGAGCTGACAGAGCCCGAGCTCTGGGGTTTGCATCCCATGACTCGCAGCACCCAGGGCTGGACATCTCCTGGGGGAGATGAGCTCCACAGACCCTCTGCTCCCTGCTGCAGGGCTGCATGCACAGCTTCACCCACCCCAGGCTGGTGCAGCTCGGGATTATTTTATTAGTCACAAAGACTAAAGGCCAGAAGAGGCTGTGATGGCTCAGCAATGCCCTATCCCTGTGTCCTGTCTGTCTGGATCACAGCCCCAGCCAAGTCTCATTGCACAGCCAAACAATGTGGTTCACAGCTCACCCACACCGAGGGGATTCTGCAAGGAGGGCACACTGCTGCAGGGGGACACCCTGGGCAGAGCCCAGAGCAGCTGTGACACAGCTAGAAAGGAAAGAGGAAAAGATTGGCTTCCGTATGACCCACCCCCAGCAGAGTGAAAACCTGGGATCATTTGGTCTGTTAAGACCAAAGAGGAGCCTGAGGTCATACATCAGGGTCTGCAGCTTCCTTACAAAGGACAGCAGAGAGGCAGGCACTGGTGTCCTTTCTGGTGAGCAGTGACAGGACTTGAGGGAATGGCATAAAGGGGAGGTTTAAACTGGATATTAGGGAAAGGTTCTACTCCAAGATGGTGTTTGAGCACTGGAACAGCTCCCCAGGGTCACAGCCTCAAGCCTGACAGAGCTCAAGGAGCATTTGGACAATGCTCTCAGGCACATAGTGGATTTTGGAGGAGTTGGATCTGGATGATCCTTGTAGGTCCCTTCTGACTCAGGACTTGCCATGATTCTGTGATTCCCCTCTGCAGGCAGTGTGGTCACCTGTAACCGTCCTCTCTCGCAGGTACATCGGGGCGCTGGGCGCGAGGGTGATCTGTGACAACATCCCTGGGCTGGTGAACAAGCAGAGGCAGCTGTGCCAGAGGTACCCTGACATCATGCAGTCGGTCGGGGAGGGAGCCAAGGAGTGGATCCGGGAATGCCAGCACCAATTCCGGCACCACCGCTGGAACTGCAGCACCCTGGACCGCGACCACACCGTCTTCGGCCGCGTCATGCTGCGAAGTAGGTTCTTCCCCATCCCCTTCCCACCGGCCTTGTCTTCCTGGGAGAGGTTCTCCTCTCACTGGGCTGCCATGCCCAGTGGCTTGGGTTACTCCCTTAGGAGAGCTTTGCCTTTCCTTGTAAATTAATCAAGCAGTAATGGGAGCAGAGCACTGCGTTCGGAATAGCTGCACCAGATGAGATGGAGCAGGGGGAGCACTGGGGGAGAAGGGGGAAGGAGGAGACACCTCCGGAGAACAGGCTCATATGTAAACAGTAATGGGATATATAAATATTTGGAGAGCAGGGTTGGCCAGGACTCAGCAATTCACGTGGGAACTGGCTGTTCCCTCGCATGGCAAGGGAGCAAAGCAGAGCAGCAGCTCCAGTCCTCACTTTGGGCTCCAAGGTGGAGGAGGATCACAGCTAAGGGCAGGTGCCAACCCTGCACCAAGGGCTGGGCACAGCCCCTGCCCGGGAGGGACCTTCCCACTCCAGGTGAGGGATGGATGCGCCACAAACAGGGATGCAGCAAGGAATGAAGAGGAGAGGCAGGATGAGGACAGGGATGGGGTGGTTCCAGAGCAGGAGCAGCATCATGTGCTCCAGCTGCACCCCAGGGAGAGCTCCTGCAGCGCACAGGCCCCAGGAGCTGGCGGGAGCACCGGGCAGAGGCACTGCAGGACAGATGCTGCTGCATCCCGTGACGTGCCAGGAGCATCCAGCCATGTGGCCTCCAAATCAAAGGCGGCTGGAGGAGCCTTCCCACTCACAGCTCATATGGAGGACATGTGAGCAGCATGGAGGGAGCAGGGAGCTTGCTCCCAGCTGGAAGGGGGATGGGGCAGCTGCCCATGGGGCAGGCAAGCAGCAGAGCCACAAGCCAGACCCCTGATGAGGAGCTGGCACTCACCCTGCCGTGCTGCAGCAAGCCAGACCCCTGATGAGGAGCTGGCTGGAGGAGAAGGGGATGTAAGCACCTAGGACAAGGCACTCACCCTGCCGTGCTGCACCCTACCTGCTCTCAGCCTCTCCATCCCTGCCACAGCACCTTTTCTCCTGCTCACATCCTCTGCTGGCAAAGGATGGGGAATGATGAAAGCTCCTCGCCACAGCCCCATCCTGCGAGGCCCAAAGAGAGCTCTGCTGCCTTTGAAGTTGCTTTCAAAGGCTCTCAAAATGAAGACGAGCATGGTTTTGATTTGCAGCTTCTTTTACAGCATTATAAAAACAGCTGCGAACTTGAACCAGAGACATAAAATAGCAGGCAGCAAGCTGTGCCGTGCGGGGAGAGCCGAGCGCGGCCGGAGCTGGCGCCGGCTTCGTGCCCTGGGAGGGAGGGAGGTGGCCTTGGCTGAAAGGTGCTGGCTGGTCCTGCAGGCTCAGCACCCATGGGCATGGTCTGCTCAGTCTGAAGGGCTCCAAGCAAGTCAAGACTGGACGTGGTGACCATGAGATGTCTGGGCTTGGCTTAACCACATCAGGGATGGTGTCACCCTGGATGCCTTGCTCCGTGATGGGCTGCAGGCACCTGGCACAGCCTGGCACACTCACTCCCCATCGCGCCGTTTCTCTCCCTGTGGCAGGCAGCAGGGAGGCTGCGTTCGTCTATGCCATCTCCTCTGCTGGGGTGGTCTATGCCATCACGAGGGCGTGCAGCCAGGGGGACCTGAAGGTCTGCAGCTGTGACCCTCTCAAGAGGGGTCGCTCCAAGGACGAGCGCGGGGAGTTCGACTGGGGCGGCTGCAGCGACAACATCAACTACGGGATCAGGTTTGCCAAAGCCTTCGTGGATGCCAAGGAGAAGAAAGTGAAGGATGCTCGAGCACTGATGAACCTGCACAACAACCGCTGTGGGAGGATGGTGAGTGCAGCACACACAGCCAAGCACAGGGCCAGACCAGCCATCCCACCAGGACCTTCCTTAGGGGACTGGGCAGGGGGAGCAGCTCAGGCTGCAGTGGGACCTTGAGTGTCCATGGAGGCAGCTGGATTTCCACTTGGCTGCCTTTCCAGTGCCCCCCTGCATGCTTTGCCCTGGGAATGGTCCTGTAAGGATGACAGGACCCCACTTACCTTTTCTCTCAGCATGTATCCTTGATGATTGTGGCATTGATGACCTCCATACACAGCCCCCTCTCCCATCAGGACCCCAATCCCACACAGTTGAGGGCTGACAAGCTGTACCAGGGCCAAGCAGACACCGGTGTGATGTGTGGTGCCCTGGGTGACCATTAGTCCTGACACATCCCTCTTCCCACAGGCTGTGAAACGCTTCCTGAAGCTGGAGTGCAAGTGCCACGGGGTCAGTGGCTCCTGCACACTAAGGACTTGTTGGCTGGCAATGTCAGACTTCCGAAAAACAGGGGATTACCTAAGGAAGAAATACAACGGGGCCATCCAGGTGACAATGAACCAGGATGGCACTGGCTTCACGGTGGCCAACAAGAACTTCAGGAAGCCCACGAAAACAGATCTGGTGTACTTTGAGAACTCACCTGATTACTGCGTGATGGACAAGTCAGCAGGTAAAAACCAAAGCTCCAGCTCTTCTTCTCCTCCCCAGAGGCAGCCTGGCAGTGCTGCTTTGGCATCTCAGCTCCCCCATCCTTGGAACAGGGGTCACCCAGCCCCAGGGTCCCCACAGCATCTCACACCTGCAGCCCCAGGACTAGGTTTGTCCAAAATCCCAAGGTTTTATACCAAATCCCCAAACCCCTCAGGCCTCTCATAATGATGGTAGCAGAGCATTTCCTCGGAGCCTGTCTCCCACAGAGCAAAGCTCCCTTGAACAGGCAATAAAGAGCCTGTTCTGTGCACAGGCTGCCACAGCTTCTCCTCTGAACACAGCCCGAGGCTGGGATGAGAGCAGGGAAGGGGCGTCAGGGCTGCTGGGCTCCTGCAGAGATGATCAATGGTTTCCCAGCCTGGAGCATCCCTGGGTCAGGGGTTCACAGCAGCTGTAGGGCTTGGTGGGGAAAGCAGCACAAGCTCCTGAGCAGAGCGGACAAAGCCCAGCCCAGTGGGCACACACTGGTCCAGGGGTCCCCTAGGCAGAGAGGGGCTGTGCAGGGCCTGTCCCTGTCCCCTGTGCTCTCATGCTCTGGCAGCAGCAGGCACAGGCTCCAGCAGCAGGCATGGGGAGGGAGCCATGCAGAGGGTCATAGATCCCAAGATGATTCGGGTTGGAAGAGACTTTAAGGACCATCTCATTCCAACCCCCACCGTGGGCAGGGACACCAAACTGCACCCTTGGCTGGGCTTGTTGCATCCACATCCTTAAAAGCCAAGCAAGCTCAGGATTTAGAGTGCTGCCTTCAGAAACCTCACTGTGGCACACACTGTGACAGAAACAACAGGATCATAGAATCACAGATTTCACCACTAAGGCAGCTGTGCCCAAGCTCTCCACTGCAGAGGGAGATGCTCAATCTTACCACTAACACTTGGGGTGAAGGAAGCACTGATGGAACACCCTGACCTGCTCTCAATTTTTCCTCCAGGCTCCCTGGGCACTGCTGGCAGGGTGTGCAACAAGATGTCCCGGGGCACGGATGGCTGCGAGGTGATGTGCTGCGGGCGAGGGTACGACACCACGCGCGTCACCCGCGTCACCAAGTGCGAGTGCAAGTTCCACTGGTGCTGCGCTGTGCGCTGCAAGGAGTGTGAGGACACTGTGGACGTGCACACGTGTAAAGCCCCCAAACGGGCCGAGTGGTTGGACCAGACCTGAGCAGAAGGGAGAACCTACTGCCATCCTCCCTTGCCATGTCTTTTTTTAAACCCCTGCGCCCCGAGGGCCGCGACGTTCTGGGAGCTGTAGTTCGACTGCATGGCTTTTATTTAATGAATTCTGCAAAGCACTAAGGAAAGGACTACATTTCCCAGGAGGTACTGCGGACCCTTCTATTTGCTCAGCAAAACTAACCCCCTACCTAGGAGGAGGCTGCAATCCTTGCTTGAACTGTGAACCTGGCAAAGGTTCTCTTTGCAAAGGGGATGGTGCAACCGATATGGACTGGGAGGACCTACAGTCGGGATGTGATGGCTGAGGAATCCTGCACCTCCCCAGAGAATCTACGTTGCAGTAAAGCTTCACCAGCAGAAAAAAACCCCACACTAGTTCAGAATAATCCACTCTTGCAAAAGCATTCTTGCTTTTCCTTTTTTTTGCAAGGCCAGAGGAAGGGTGTTGTGAATCCACGAGATGGTTCAGCGATCCCTGAGTTTCTCTCGAGCAGACCCAGTGCATCGCTGACCCCACGGAGCAAGAGTCACCTCTGCACGAGGCTTGTCCCTGTGTCCCCAGTGCAGGGGCCAAGTGGAGCTGTGAATTGGAACTGAACCCTGAAGGACTGCACAGAGACAAGGGCCACCCCTAGATGCTGGTGGACACAGAGGGCTTGAGAGAGCAAAAGAAATCTGTGAACTTACTGGTAGGTTCTGAAGTCAACGATACAACAGTGTCTCTGTACGACTCACGTGTATGTTGTGTATACTGCTTATTATTTTAAGTCAAAATTCATTATAAACCTATATCAGAAAATGATGTTCTTTGCTTTTTTGAATTCGTACACACCCAGCTGGGCACTTCCCCAGAGCAGGAATCAGCCTTCTCCCCACTGCCTGCAGCTCCTGCTGTCCTAAAATGCAGATTCTCCCTCCCAGGAGTTATCTGTAGCTTCCCACAAAGTAGAGGATGGCATCCAGTGTCCAAAGCTCTAGGGAAATCCTTCCTCAGTAGCAGTATGCTCCAGGATATGTGGATGCTCCATCCCTGGAAGTGTTCCAGGCCAGGTTGGATAAGGCTTGGAGCAACCTGGTGTAGTGGAAGGTGTCCCTGCCCATTGCAGGGGGTGGGATGAGATGAGCTTTAAGACCCTTCCAACCCAAATCATTCTGTGATTCTATTGCACTGGATTGAGCATAAGCTGCTAGATTAGCTTCTAAACCTTTCCCATTAAAAAAAACCCCAACAAACTAAACACAGCTGAACTTGCAAACTAAATTAATCAAGGTAAAAAAATTCCCTAAACCATTACAATTCTGAGCATATGCTGAGACTGACAGAGGTGTTCCTGCACTTCCCCCAGAGCTGGGCAGCTCACTGCCCCAGACAGGCTGTCTCTCCTCTCTGAGACAGGAAAAATGTGAGAGTTTTCCTAACATTGCTCAGCATCATGCTGATGGGCAGGCAAGGATGTTTCTCACACTCAAAGGAAGTTTTCATGAAAGTTCTAAGCTTACAACAGCAACAACAGGAAAGTCCAAGTCAATGGGGACATTCACCTGTAAATCCTTTTCCCTGGGGTTTGCTTTATTGCTGCCAGAGGTCTCTAAGGAACAGGGGTTTTCTCCCTGCTGCAGCAAGATGTGTGGGCAGAGGGAGCTGAGCAGGCTACAACAGCAAAGTCTGAAGGAAGGTCAAAGGAGCAGGATGGGATTAAGGCAAAGAAGATTATTCTGGTCCTAAGCCACCCATCGGCTACTGCACCGAGAGCATCTCTGAACAGGGATTTTACTCAATGGCCCTAGGAAATGTTGGTTTAAGTGGGGAGAGAAAACCACTTTGAAAACTGCTTTGATGGGAACTGCTCAAAGAATTTAAAGAGCCTGGCATGAGCCAGATTAGAGCACCTTCCTTCGAGCCAGACCACCGAGAGTGCTCAGGCAGAAAAAGGACCTTCAGCAGAGCTGCAGAGCCACATGCAAGCAAAGAGGTGACATTTTACCAGCTCTGAAAGGAGTTCTAGGAAACCCACCTCCCCACTGCCTAACCTGCACCTTACAGAATTAAACCACCTCCCTTCTGAATCCTGTGCTGCCAGCACGAGAGGCTGGGCAGAGCTCTGCTCCTGCAGAGCTTGAACTCAAGCTGGTGTTTACCAGGGAGGCTCCTGGTCTCCCTCCCAGGGCCTTCAAAACCCTCTGAACATCAGGGAGAGACAATTTCTCCGGAGGTTTGCTCTGTCCCAGCTGTGCTGAGGAATGCTGGCAGGTGAGCAGGAGGTCTGAGCCAGGCCAAAGGCATCCCAAGCCTGCCACGGCGCACAGGCTAATCGACCGGGAAGAGCTCCCTCATTTATCTTCATTACTGCTCCACCTACCATCAATTTACAACAGGCTTTAAAAAAAATGCTGCCCCCTTGGCCATCAATCCAAGCCTCCCTCCCAGAGCAGGACATGCTCCATGGGCTGGGAGGGACCCAGTGCCTGGGGACCTGGGGTCAACCCTCAACAAACACTTCTTCCTCTCCAGAGGACCCCTGGGAGGTGTCTGCCAGCAGAAATACTGCTCCCTGGCAGATCTGTGGGCCCACCTGATGAATGACACCTTAATCAATGGCTGCTGCCAAAATAGATCCTCCCTTTGAACACAGATGTTCGTATTTTAAAACAAAAAGGGGAAACTCCTGAGGTCTTGGGTTTATTGGCTTCTCCCCCCTTCCCATTTCATCACTGAGATGCTGAAACTGGATGCCTTCAGCACTCTGTAGGATAATCACAGCTGAGACAGGAGCCCTCTGTAGTCCTGCTGGGTCCACTGGCACGGTGGGACCCCTGCCTGGCTGCATTTCCCTGTCCCAGCAGTAAATCAGAGGAGTAAAAATACTTGGAAGCAGGTACTAGTGCTACAGAAGGACCTGGAGAAGAAGTCAGGGGGAGACAACCTGATGAGCTCAAGTCCATCTGACAGAAGAGGTGAGAGTTTCTTCTGCACAGGGCTATGCAAGGCTACACTCATTTATTAACAAGCAATTAGCAAAGCACAAGCAGAATGCCTGGGAATTGGAATACACTGGTTAGGTTGAGCAAATTCCCACTGCTTGTGCAAGACAATGTCCACTGTGGGCTGAAGGAAGTTCAGACTGGTCTGTGTCCTCCTGTAGCTGAGCCCCACTGAAGTTCCTTCAGCACACTCATCCTCAGCAAGCAGCTGCTTTCCATCTCTGAACGTTTCTGAAGGCTGCAGTCTCCTCAGGAACACTCAGTCCCTCTCACAAGCTCCTCTTAAGTAATCTGCCTGAAATGTGCAGGGAGCCTTTTGTGCAAGATCATCTTCTAATTATCCTCCAGTCAAAAGTATGTCTGAACTCAAGGACAAGGAGTAGAATTAATTGCTTAACGAGCTTCTGAATAAATTACCTGCTGTGAAGAAGCTGGACAAGACACATGGGAGGAGGAAACACAGGATCCTATGCAGGGCCAGGAGCTGGGACTTTGATGATCCTTGTGGGTCTCCTCCAACTCAGGAGATTCCATGATTTTCTCTAGTAAACCACGTGAGTATAAAGAGGTAACATCACAAATTTCTGGATGGATATAGTGAGAAGACCCTTAAGTTCTTGAGCCCAGCAGTACAGAGTGAACACAGTGCCCAGTTACACCCCAATCCTAACACCCCCTTGTTGCTTCCATAGGCCTTTTCTGTTTTCTCCATGGCATGAAATGCTTTGCTCAGATACCTGTGCCAACAACGATGTGACCCATGGGGTCACCTGCTGCAACAACAGGCCCAGCTCAGATTTTTTTCTGCATTCTGACTAACATTTGCATAATCTCTCAAGATTGGTGTGGGAGCTTTCCCATCCCTTCTTCCCGGAGCCGAGTCATGGAGGGCTGCTCCAGCTAGCAGCAGGAGGGTCACTGCTCTGGAATCACAGCTGGTGAGTCAAGGCAGGAGAATGCAATAGTCACATACTGTGTCACTCTGGTTTATAACTGATGATAGCCAAGTCAGAAAAGAAATCAAGAGGTGGTTAAGAGGAGGGTCCGAGCTGACGAGGCAGTGCTGTGATTGCACAACCCAATGCATCCAGAGTACAGGGAAAATGTCATTGGCCAGAAATATCCAAAGGAGGAAGATCCCAAGGGAGGAACACGCTCACGGTGGATGCACCGTGTGATGCTGTAAGCATGGGCGTGTTATCTCCTCTCCCCAATGACCAGACTCACCGAAAGACCCACCAAAGAGCACAGCACAGCAATCCAGGCTGGAAAGGAGGAAAATTCCAAGAACATGAGCAGCATCCCTGATCTTCTCCCTCCAGTGTAAGGGCTGGGGCGTGCAGAGCACACCCCGCCGAGGAGGCTCCAGCCAAGGAGGAGGGAGCCAGGAGAGAGCTGGAAACTCAAACTGCCTCTCCTCTTTATCCACCTTTCTTAAATGCTGGGTGAATTCAGAGCCCAGAGGAATGGACACAAAAGCTCACTGTGGTTCCTACTGTCATTGTCATCTGATGTGCAGAGGTTTTTGACCCAAAAGCAGATGACAGTAGCTCACACATCACTTCTGCAGCCATCCTAATGAACTGTAGGAGAGAGACAGGAGCAAAATGGGGCAAGCTGCTCAGAGGCTGGCAGGGCATGAACTCTGGAGGGGAGGTTTAAGCTGGATATTAGGCAAAGGTTCTTCCTCCAGAGGTGTTTGGGCACTGAACAGCTCCCCAGGGCAGTGGTCACTGCCCCAAGCCTGACAGAGCTCAAGGAGTGTTTGGACAACACTCTCAGGCACACTGTGGGATTTTTGGGGTGTCCTATGCAGGGAGTTAGACTGGATGATTCTTGTGTGTCTCTTCCAAACCAGGATATTCTCTGATTCTCTGAACCCTACCTGCCTTTGCTGCCCACACTGCTGAGAGTACAGCACCACTGCACATCTGCCCTGCACAGCTGAGCCCATTCTGACACCTCAGCACAGCCTCACGTGGCTCCCAACCACACACCCCACACATTAGTGGTTGGGAGGTGCAGCTCCCCTCAGTGTCTCATCTCTGAGCAGGGGGAAGGGCAAAATTAATTTATGTCTGGACGAGCCCTGTACGTATGTCTCCTTTCCCTAAGGGAGTCTGCTCTCATATTTAACCTCTTCATTCTGCTGGCACTGGAGGTGGATGATGCAGCTTGTGGAGAGGTGCAGGCACTTCACTCTCCCCCTCCCCCTGGAATCTTCCTTTCACTTGTGGTCCTTGGGATTCACCCAATGTTTCTCAGAAAAAAAAAAGAGAAAAAAAAAGAGAGGACCTCAAGACAAGTATGTATTTAATAAGCAGAGAGACAAATAAGCTCCAGTTATCCCAGCAGAATTACAACACCAGAGAACAATTTTCTGCATTCCTCTGAAGGCCTGAAGGAACCCAATTGCCTGCTCTCAGCCTAAATAGGTACCAGACACCAAGTGCTCCATAAGCAAACAGAGCCCCCAAAGTGCAAAAATGAAATAAGTAAAAAGCTTCACATTACATATAAACCAGCCGTTTGCACCTTGTTATTAATGGGCTTGACTATGACCTTTAAACCCTGCCTTGCTCAGAGTCATGGATCTACGAGCCTTGGCACCCTCACAACAATTCCAGGATGAGGAGAAGGGAATAAACATGCCTGGCCAGTGCTGGAGAGATGCAGGAAGGGAACTTGCCTGTGACAAACCTGGATGGAGAACCACTCCATACGAATTTGTCCCTGTAACCTCAGTGACCAGAGTGTCTGCTGACACATATACTCATGTACAGAACTCACTGATGCATGGATCTATCCCAAATTTCAGGAATGAAGGGCTCACATCATGGTAACTAACTGCAAGAGAGCTCATGGCCCAGAATTCTGATGGAGTTTATCAGCCCACGTGAACTAGAGTTGCCTCGAGCAGACCCTGTTGGCCAAAAATATTTATTAGTCTAAACTGCCTCACCTCTGCTTTAAGAGTTTTATAGCCAGTGGAGAGCTGTGTCCCTTGAAAGGTGGCAGCACCCTCCAGTAGCACCCAATGTCCTGCCACAATACACTGATTGAAATGCTCCTACTTGTGTGGAGCATCAAATAGCCAATACCATGTAGACGTCAACTTCCAAACACATCAAGTCAGACATGAGAAAGTTGTTTCAGTCCTATGCTAAACCATGTTTGTGTCATCTCTCTAGATGCACATGCAATAAAAAGTCCTGATCCACAAGCATCTTTAGACACATTTCATGCAAATCAGTGGTAAGTCAGGGTAAATTCACACAAGAATTCAGTTCTCAGTTGCCTCACAAGGAACAGCTTCACTATCTGTGATAACACTTTCCTCTTTCCTTCCCTTCCTGTCCTTTTTGGAATTTACTTCTGGAGAATTAAGAGGTGGCAGGAGGAAATGCAGCATTTCTCTTCCTGCACATCCTCAGCAAGAACTAATCTGGCATGACATGGTGGGACACTGTGAGCATCAAAACCTGCCCAACAAACCAAACCCACTCCAAGCTCAAACCTAAAGGATCCAAGAGACTATAATTCCCCTGGTTTACAAATACACACGTTAGCATCAGGTATAGAAATCAATGCTCATCTTCAAGGTTTGACTTGCACTGGCTCCTCTGAACTGAAAATCTGAGAAGTCCATTAATACCACATGCAGCCTCATGGAAAGGGTTTTGCCATCCCAGTGCCTGTAAGGTCACCACAGTGCATATTTCAGGGAAATCACAGTGATGCTTGTCTGTCCTGAGTCATAATTGTCATTTTTAGATATATATACACACACTCAACTTAATTGACATGGTATCACTAAGGTATGGGTCAGGTGTAAGTCCCTGCTCCTAAGTGGCAAAGGAACACTGCTATAAAGCATGGACAATCCTGCTGGGGAATGATGCAGAGTACTCCTCCTTCCTCAAGAATTGCTGGCACTTCTAGAGACAGGAAGATTTTCATTACACAGCCTGCTGCCAGCTCTCCTTTCAGCACAAGCCCATCCCCTTTCTGTTACTGTTATGTCAGGGGAGGACAGTGAGAGAAAGCAGCTCTTGGGATGATACATGGGAGACAGAGCTTCATTTATAACCCCACACAACTGCTGGAAAAGGTTCAACTTTAAAAAGCATTAGGTTGGTTACCTTATGGGCCCCTGAGGACCAAGAAGTGAAATCACATGAACACAACAGATCTATTAATCACCACAATGATTCCGAAGTGAGAAATAGCCCCAATGACATACTTCAACTGGAAAGAAAGTTGAGAAAATTACCTACTAGTAGTCAGGCAACTCCAGAAAAGCATTGGTAGTACCTTTCTGTAGGGCTCCCCTTGACTCCTCAATGAATTCATGTATTTAACTTGGATTAAAGCCCAGTCAATGGAAATGCACAGGGGAGGGCAACAATGGCATTTCTACCTAAACATGCATGTTCCCTCTCAGAGTTACAAATAAACTACACTGACGTGAGATGCAGAGGTAACTCTGCTTCACAGCACTTAGTTTACAGGGTAAAGAAGGATGTGAAAAGAAGAAGAAAGGAAAAAAATATCATTCTCAGTCTTCTGCATCAAGACAGATTTTAGGTCAACTCAAGTTTACCTGTAACTGGTTGTTTAGGGATAGTTTCAGAGAGCAGAGTAGGCTACATCAAGCTTCTTCCATCCAGGATTCAGACAGCAGAACCTCTGGAAGAAGCCACCAATGTCACAAACCTTCCCAAAGACAGTGAAGATCAAACATGTGAACTCTCCCAAGTTCTTAGGGCTGAGTGTATGTTTTTGTCTGTAAAATGCAAGATGATGGGTTTTCCCCAGCTCAGAATTAGCATTTATCCACAAGCTGGTGCTATTTTTACCACTTCCCCTCTTCAGAAGCCTTGGCTAACATGACTCTGCTTCCTCAATGCTGAGCAGCAGAGCTGGAGGGGAAGAAGGAGACATTTTCTCTAATGGGAGAGTGGAAATGGAGGTCACACCAATTACCTCAAACCACTTGGCTGCCACAACCATCTTTTCACCTCTGCAGTAAACAAACCCTTGGGGCTGGTCTGTACATGAAGCAATTGCTTTGAAGAGTGCTCCACATCTCAGTTCTCTTCAAGTCTTCATATCAACAACAGTACTTTGGACTAACACTTGAAAGCTTAGGTCTCCCAAAAAAGACTCCCATGGAGATACCACAACCACTTTGGGCAGTTTGAGAATCCATCCTGTCATTTTAAAATGCTTTGCCTTGAAGAATAAAAGATGCACAATTAAATCTGAAGGAGTAACACCATGAAATAGAGGAGTTTATACCACCATCTCCTCGAGTAATGCAAGCTTATAGGATAGAGGAGAAACAAATCTTTGTTTGCACACTATAATCTGTATTAAACAGACACTTAAGAAGTCAACAAATTCAACGTGTTAAGAAGCAACCTTTTAATAAAGAAAGCAGAACCATACTTTGCTGTTAACAAATATTTTGAAAAAGGCTTATAAAATCAAATCTAAGCCAAGTACTTAGTGCATCTGCAGCTGAGAAGGAAGTATCAATACTCCAAACACCTGCTCAAGTTTGTGTACTCTCCTTTCTTACAGAGGAAGTATGAGCTTCCAGTTGTCTAAGTGATTTAAAGAGCAATAAACTATTGCTCAACAAAAAACTGTTTTCTTAGATGATTACAGACTAAGGCCAGAGAAGAAATTCATATGTTAAGCACCATTAACATGGAAGCCTGTCAAAGATACCAGTTTGAAGAGCCCAGATTTCTTCCTTGCCCCTCACAACTGAGGGTCACATAACCACTGGGTGAACAAAAGTGAACCACCGTGGAAAACACAGTCCAGTCACCCTGGAGTCACCTGATGCCACAGGCTGGACAGCAGCAGGACCTCAGTGTTTTCCAAAATGAAGCTGAAGGGTGAAAGAAGAGCCCCAAAGCACTGGAAGAAAGAGAACACAACAATAAATTAGCTCAGATTCCAAACCAATATCCTTCCACAGGCTCAAGGTATGAACAACCCCACCCTGAAGGCAACACAGCTCCCATCCCTTCACTGCTGATGCCATGAAATAGGCTGGTGGTGAACATTAAATATTGATCAAGTCACACTAAAGGAGAAAATCCCTCTGGAAGCCACAGCTCCAGCCTTGTCCACTCACCTCAAGTGCAGTCCACTCAGCTGGAAGGCAGAACACTGGGAGCACTCACTGGCCACAGCACCCGCAGCACCTGGGCAGAAACAGGAGGGTTAAGATGGTGTTTCTCCATGCTACAACTCCTCCAGCTGCTCAGGGCTGAAGAGACCGGGGAGAGGAGGGCAGTGTACGTTCATAGAATCACAGAATGGTTTGGGTTGCAAGATCATCTCACTTGGATATTCAGGCATGGATTATTTCTAGGTCATTGGCCTCGAGGAGAGGCTGAGGGAGCTGGGGGTGTTCAGCCTGGAGAAGAGGAGGCTCAGGGGAGACCTTCTCACCCTCTGCAACTCCCTGA